GTGTGTGTGTGTGTCTTTGAAAGGTCGATGTTTTTCTTTTTCTTTTGTCTAAAGCTTAATTTCTCGTTATTGCTCAGAAATCAGCTGAATGTTTTCAGAGCTGCTGCGTCGTGTTCAACTCAGAGTAAAGATCATTTATGATGACATCATTCAGATCAGTAACAAATAAAACGAGGCTTTTCATTGTCGAGGACGGTTCGGTTTTATTTGTTTAGAGATTTAAACCTTGTGTTAAATACTCTGTGAACATTAATGATATAAAATGCCATACATTCATTAAAAAAATAACAACAAATCAGGATTTTTTTTTATTGTTCTCCAATTTAGAAATCTGTCTTGTAATGTTGAGATTAAAATTAAATTTTTGGGGAATGAAGTCATAAAACATGTTCAGTCAGACAATCTAACCAGTCCAAAGATGAACTCGACTCGTTGAGGACTGATGAGTTCGACAGCGTTGACAGAACGGCCCATCTACACTCAGCAGACCTTCTTCTTCTTCTTCTGTTCTTCTTCTTCTGTTCTTCTTCTTGTTCTTCTTCCTCTTGGACACTTCTTGGTCCAGAAAGCAGCAACAAACTGACCCCACAGGGTCGTGAAGGGAGCGCTGTTTAATGTTGGCTGCTTAGTGTTCCTTTACGCTGCTGTGTTGTGTCTGATGAAGACTTATTTGATAAGAATAAAACATTTAAGCTCGTCAGTCATCTTTGTTTTATGTGCTATAGAAATAAATAAAGTTTGACATGAGCCTGAAAGACAGAGAACAGATAACAGGCTGGTAGCTAACTGTTAGCCTGGCCTTAATGCAGACCTTCACCTCTTCCTTCATTCTATTATGAGGAACAAGAAAGATGATGAGGTCCTAATTATTGATACAAATTAAATAACATTGTTTCATAAACATCCAGATTATATTTTTTAGTTTGAAGCCTTTCATTTGACAACAACAACAACAATGATAATATTAATAAATATTAATATTATTAATAATAATGATAACAACAACAACAAGTATTATTATTATCATCATTATTATTACTATTATCATTATTATTATTATACTACGACAACAACAATTATAATAACAATTATTATTATACTATGATGACAACAACAGTGATGATAAAATAATAATTCATAATAATATTTAATAATAATGATGATAACAACAATTATTATTATTATTATTAATATACTACGATGATGATGACAGCGACAACAACAATAAAATAATAATTATAATAATATTTAATAATGACGATTACAGCAATAATAATAATAATTATTATTATACTATGACAATGATGATGACGATGACAACAAAAATGATAAAATAATAATTAACAATAATATTTAATAATAATGATGATAACAACAACAACAACAATAATAATGATGAATGTGACATTGATTTATATTAATTTACTCAGATTAAGTTTTTTTGTTTGTTTCTGCAGGAAAAGATTGTCTGCGAGGCGTAAGCACACCCTTAAAGTAAGCTGCTGCTACTTAAACTTCCTGTTACATCATTCTTTGTAATAAATATTAATGCTTTTTAAAAAAAGATTACATTAATGATGTATTGAAAAATCTCGGTGTTGAGATGACCAGTTGTTGAGATGTTGTTTGTCATGTGCAGTAACAGGAAGTGATGTCAAAGAGGTACAGAGTGCTGCTACAACGATAATGATTTATATAATTTATATAATTTATATTATTTAGAGTCTCTATCAGAGACAGATGAGGAGTCAAAGTTATAATGATGCTTCATTAAACAAATAGCAGGAAGTTCCTCCTTGTAAAGAATTCCACTTTGCTGTCACTTCCTGTTTCACTTCGGCTGCACCACGTTGTGACAAAACGGGTGAAATCATGTTATTATGGTAAATTTATTAAACATTAAGATTTTTTCTTCCACTTCTTGTATTTGTAGGATCTGCATGTCACAGGCACTTTGTTACTGGTTAATAAAAATTAGTCTTCACTGTAATGATGGACCAAACTGGTTCTGTGGACACTCAGTTTGAGAAGAACACACAAACAGCCAGAAGAAAACTAAAAATATACATACATGTATACATGTATACATATATGCAATTTTTACTTTTCTAAGATCTATATATAACTGAGAAGTTGTAAAATAAAGATATACAGAGTAGAGAACGTGCACTGATTGGAAACAAGTATCAGTGGCACAACACAGTTTTAAGATCACACACCATACAATGTTAAAAAACAAAAACATGGATTTAAACTAAATTCATATATGACATTATATCCAACATTTTAAATGTTTGTCATGAATATTGCTTTATGAAAATGAACTAATGAGATTGCACCATTAGAAAATGTCATCGTCCAGCCAGAAGTCATTCGAGGCTGTCTGACACTAAAACATGCACGTGTGCACGGATGATGTAAAAAGGGAGGAAACAGCCGAGAAACAGGTGTTTCAGAATTTATTGTTTATCTTGGTCTTTTATGAATTTCACATATAATCAGAGTCAAATCTGAGAACCACAAATAATTAACTGAAGTTTTCAGGAAGTGCATGTGAACCTGACACGTTCACTCTGGGAATCATTTAAGTGTGACAGTATACACACTTGCTCACAAAGATGTTGTTTAAAATATATTTATACTTAAACTCTGATTTATACTGTGAGTCATTAATGATGATACGAGGACTTGTTGTCTTTTCTTTATTGTAAATGGCTTATTTTTTACTTTCATGTTTTATTTATGGTGTATTAAACATGAAATTATTACAGGCTTTAACAGAGACCCGTTCATTTAGAGGTTTTTAATGTCCCTTCCTTGTGCTTTAATTGTTTAAATAATTGTAATTTTCAGAGCTGCATGCTGGTGGTGGCGAATAACTTGCTGGAGGCTGAAGCTCAGACAAAGACTACGGAGCGGGAACGGTTCCTGGCAGAGAAATGTCCTCCGATGGATATACCATACTCCAGAGAAGAACTCATTGTAAATATCTTTGTTTATCTGGTGCAGAAATTCACAAAGTTTAATTATATATTTATTATATATAATAATTATTATAATAAACAATAATATTATTATAATAAATAATTATATTATTGATATTATTGTTTTTTTGTCAGCGTAAGGTAAAGAAATGATCTGAAGTAAACACTAAAAAATAAAAATTTTCTCCAGGAACTTTGCAAGAAACTTCATCAAGAAATTAACATCAGTGAAGAGGAAAGATACTGCACGGAGTTTAAACTAAACCAGGTGCTGAGTGAGGTGAGGGACGGCCTTTCAGCATCCTGTCAACAGCTAAAACAATAAAAGCACTCACTGTCTCATCATCAAACTGACTGATATTGATCTGACTGACTGGTGAAGCGTGGTGGTAAAAATCGTCCTTTCTGCACTAACAACAGTTACAATAAAAATTAGAGAGCAGTTTAGTTTTTTATGCTACAAACCATTTTTCAGCATGTAGGAACAAACCAACAACATCCTCGGTCCAAAGGAACGCTCATTTATCCACCAGTTTGGGTGTAACTGTGATCAGGCTAATGCCTCATGCATGATGAATGCAGCTGAGCCACATCAGGGTTGCCAGATAAACATAATGACGTTATTCTGTGCACATGTTCACCAAACTCAACACCTCATCTGACAACACTTTCACTCAGCACAGGTGACAGTTTGAGTCAGAAAACAATTATTCAAAGCAGCAGTACAATAGTTTGTCACTTCTTATCTGGCAACCCTGCCTGCCAAGGGAACTATAAGGGTTTCTTTAAGTTATTAGTAATGTGACCAGATCACAGGGTCACCTATTAACATGAACCTGCTTTTCCAAAACTGTCTAAAGGTCAGGGACCTAAATATCAAGATTGTGGATCTTAGAGGAAAGTTCAAGAGACCTCGGCTGAAGAAGGTGCGTATGTCAGCCGACGCCATGCTGAAGGCTTTGCTGGGCTCCAAGCACACGGTCAACATGGACCTGAGGGCCAACCTGAAGCAGGTCAAGAAGGAGGTGAAAGAGGAGGTAAACTACTGCCTGGTTAATAAACTCCTAAACGTTTTCCAAAAACAGATTTTATTTAAACCGTTAAAGGTCCATAAAAAGACTGGTGGATTCAGAATGAAACAGGGAACGTTCTCGCCCATAACCGCACCAAATTTCAGTTCTGTTTGTGTAAAAATATCTGAGTTAAAGCCATTTAAAATTGGCTTTGGTGGCCATCTTGGATTTTTTGATTTGAGTTCAGTATATGTGCGTTGCTCTCAGCTACCACGACACCAAATTTCAGCTTAATATCTCTAAAACTGGCTGATTTATAGTATTCTTCCTTTTAAGCTCAGGCGGCCATCTTGGATTTGTAATCAGATTCTTTTAGGGATTGTTCTCAGCTATCAATACACCAAATTTCAGCTGAATAGCTCTAATAATGGCTTAGTTATATCCATTTGGAATTAGCTTTGGCAGCCATCTTGGATTATTAGATTTGAATTCAGAATGTGTTGTGCATCGCTGTCAGGTACCACCAAAACAAATTTCAGCGCAATATCTTTTAAAATAGCTGAATTATTGATTTTTTTCTCTTTTAGCTAATGTGGCCATCTTGAATGTTTAATTTTCATTAGGATGTACAACAACTTGCCACCACCGAACTAAATATCAGCTCAGTGGCTCAAAGAATGACTGAGTTACAGTCAATTTAGAGTTTCCTGAGGTAGCTGTGGCAGCCATCTTGAACCAAAATGGCTCCAACAAGTAATCAGAGTTTTGTTCATGGAGCGCTCCCCTCCAGGTCATGTGACCTCACTGTGGCTGTGAGGAGTTCTGTCAGAGGTTTTCAATAAGAAAAATGGCGTCTTTGTTTACAAAATGCGTCGCCATGGTAACTGGAAACACCAATAAAAGTAGCAGCGCACATAACGGCGCTCAGCCGGTAGTTTTGTTGTAACATTTGTGGGACACGTTGCGGTTCAGGCCGCATTAAAGTTGACAGAAGAGCAAGACCCTCGTCAGGTGGATGATAATAGGTGGCTGCCTTTCTAGACGTCCCCAACAAGAGTTCAAAGTTAAACTGACTGACATTTGACTATTTTTCCATTTTAGCCTTTAAACTAAGACGACTTTTGTGTGTTTTTGTAGGACAAGCAGCTGCGTGATGTGGGAGACTGGCGTAAAAACATTGAAGACAAGTCTGATAGGAAGAAAATGTTTGACAGCTAAATGTGGCGAGTTAGCGGGTCATCACTTTTAGGGCTTCAGCTGAGTTCAGTGTCGCAACTGAAGAGTCGTACTAAAACATGTAAACTTAGACGTGGTGGTAGTTTGGTTCCATGAAGTGTAGAACTATACGGACGTGCTTCTGCTGTGCTAAATGGTCATAACAGTCTAAAGTGAATCATAACTGTTTTTACTGGAGCAGACATTTGTCTGTTCAGACAGGTTTAGGAAACGTGTGCACGGCTTCAGAGACATGAAGCAAAGTGCTGGTAGTCTGTTGAATGTCCAAGTTTCAAATAAAGCTCTTCAGTTACAAATTAACTAGTCTGTGCTTTTGTTTCTGTCTGTGGACGTACATTTGTACAACACGTACTGATGTCATTGGCATCAGAAGCATTTATAATGTGGGGGGACACACTGGTGGGGGGGTCTGAGGGTCCTCCCCCTTAAAATTTTGAATAAAGTAGGTGTCATTTCCTGCATTCTGGTGTATCTTAATGGATTGTTTAGTTTTACCTACATAAGTTAGCATTTCATTCAATAACAATTTTAGAGTTAATGGCACAACAAGAAGTAGCCTGACCAACAGCTCTCCTTGTGTGAATAGAGCGTGATGTCCCCAAATCCCATCTCTCTTGCATGTTTTAGTTGTTTCCCTGCTCCAGCACACCTGACTCATTGATTTAATTACTTCCTCAAGTCCTGCAGGCGATTGTTAATCAACCATAATTCATATCAGGTGTGTTGGAGCAGAGAAGCAACTAAAACATGCAGGATGGCGTTCCTCAAGGACCAGGGTTGGGTACCACTGGAATAGAGCATGTTCCGCTTCTCTCACGCATCCTAACCCCCCCACCACCCCCGTCAACAACTGCCATCACTAAAGTGGCACTAAGTGAGCGCAAAACAACGGTGTCTCCCCCTCCTCCCCCAGTGAGCGCCCTGTCACGGCAGATGACGGATGAGAAACGCTGCAGTGGTGTGGAGTTGTTGTAGGTAACCAGGAAAACCTGGAGTGGACTTTTAGAGCTTTGACTATTCTCAAGTGGAGCCGATTTTTTCACGAAGAATTAGAAAGTGCTGGGTGAACTAATATTTCATGTTAAATGTTCATTCAACCTTTATTTAGAGAGGTTAATCCCACTGAGCATCAGGGACTCATTTACAAGAGAGACCTGATTTATTTAACAAAGAATGATGACAACAACGAACAACAATGATAACAATAGACAGTCACAAATGATGCATGCAAATTTAAATTTATTTTTATTTTTTTACAAACCAAAACAAAATAGCAACCAAAAGAACAGTAGTGAAAAAAACTCCCAGCTAGATTATATAAGGAGGTGTAGAAAACTAAAAACAGGAACATGTCTGCATTGGTCCCTGCCAGGAGTCCAACAGATCCTTAAAGCCACTTAGAGAGGTCAAAGGTCGAGAGCTTCAGATCTTTTTACAAGATATTCCAGGAAACAGGAGCGGAGTAGGAGAAGGTCCTTTTGTCTAGTTCAGTCCTCACTGAGGGAACACTGCAGGTAATGATGTCCTGAGAGCGCACGCTGTAGCTGCACTCACACAGAGACATGTAGGAGGAGATGTATGAAGGCAGCAGACCAAGAAGTGATTTAAAGATGAAAATGTACCAGTGGGAGAGTCTGTGTGGAGTTAATGATGTCCAGTTAACCAGTGAATACTGGGTGCAGTGGTGGGTACGGTAGTTACAGCCAGTTATGAATCTTAGTGCACCATGATAGACAGCATCCAACATCTGCAGCATCCAACATCTGCAGCATCCAACATCTGCAGCATCCAACATCTGCAGCATCCAACATCTGCAGGGTTCTTGTAGGAGCGTTCATGTAAATAATGTCACCGTGATCAATGGAGGGAAGGAAAGTCACAGAAACCAGGTGTTCCTCAGGGTTCAGAGTTAGACAGGATCTGTTTCTGAAAAACAAACCCAGTTTAACTTCCAGTTTCTTTACCAAGTTTTCCACATGGAGCTTAAAAGAGAGATGTGAGTCGACCAAGATACACAAAATGTGGGGGGTCCCAATGAATATTTATTATATGTGTGTGTGTGGGGGGGGGGGGGGTACACATCCCCATCACATATAATTGTTGTGACGCCTATGACTGATGTCCTTCCGTGCACATAAAACAATTCAAACGATCTTTTCCCACTGAAAACCACAGGATGACTTTCTTTCAACATAATGAAACCTGAACAAAAGTTTGAGCTCCTCAGTTGAAGCACCGAGGCCGGATCTGGTCTTGTGTAAAATAACCGAGTCGTGACTTTGTGGCAACTGAATAACTTCAACGTGCTTTTTATTTCAGATGAATCAATTGGTTTTTATTTTAAATATGACATTATAAAGTAAGAAAACTGAGGCCAGCCTCATTTATATACTAAACTATTAGCTGTCATGAAGGTGGACTCATTGATTGATTCATAACTTCTAAACTACGTTTACCGCCGTTATTTTTTTTACTTTACGAGTTACTTTTCAGGACAACAGTTACCAATAAAACTACACAAACTGCAGTAGGGTTACCACAGAATATAAGTGCAATCTAAAATCTTTTTTTAATTGACACAAGATATTATCTGTGTGAAATGAGATTTTTTTCTTGAATAAAGCAGTATTCAGTATTTAAAACAGTTCCCCTCTTGTTGATCGTACCTGCTTTCATGCAGTTCTGCAGCGTTTGGTGTCATGGATGATTCATTACATAACAAGCTTTATCCCTCCATAATTACACTTACTAACACTTGTTTCTCCTCTTTACCAAAAGTGTAAACTTGCTAAGTGTCTGTAATTAATGTTGAAGTTTTCATTCATTTTCATGTTTAATAAACCCCATGTAATTTCATTTTGTCATTATTTTGCTGTCAAATAAATATAAAAACTTTATGTTTGTTGTTTCTTTTCTTGTTTAGTTTTTTTTTAAGTTGGTATTTATAACTTAATCATAAAATCGAATGTAATGGTGCGAGTTTAGCAAAAGATTTATGTCTTTGAGCTTGTTACTAAACTGACTAGTGGAAGCAGAAAGGTGACATTAATGCTGAGGTCCAGGTAGTTCCTGTACTGGTGTGTTTGCTGGCACTCCATGCTCAACTGGGATTTAACCACAGATGAGATTCCACTCTCCTAATTTCACCAGCGAGGACGTTTTCTCACGTTTTCTCTTCCCACGTCAGTCCACAAATCAAATCCTGCTGCCACTGGTCTTCTAGAGAGATTTCCATCTTCACCAGAGAAGCCTGTTCACAGATGTTCTTCTTCTAATGATCTAATGACTTGGTTCTCGACCAAGACAACAGAGACATTTGAATGAAACGTCAAAGTACAGGAGCTGATGAACACGGTCTTCCTTTTATTAGTAGAGAGGACGGAGTTAAGTTTACAAAGATTTCTGATGTATTTTTATCATAGAGTTAATCTGTTCATCTAAACAAACAAATAAAAATAACATCAAAGTTCATGATCAATAATCCAGGTAAAGAAATCCAACAGTTCAGTCAGGTCATCAGGACAGTTACTTTGTTGTTGTTGTTGAGAGATGTTTCGTCCTCCATCCAAAGGGCTTCATCAATCCAAAGGGCTTCATCAGTCCGAAGGGCCTCATCAATCCAAAGGGCTTCATCAGTCTGAGGAGTCACAAACAAACTGTTTCCCCCACCAAGCAGCGCACTCCTACAGTGGACCACACAGTTTGCTGGTGATGAGATGGTTTGTGGGGGCCCCCCCCCCCCCCCCCCCCCGACTCATCCCAGGCAACCACAGCCAAAGTGGTTTAAAAATATAGAATTAAAAAATATAGAAAACAGAATAAAAATAGAAAATATAGAAACTTCCCGCATTAGATGACACTTGGAAACTTGGCAGTGTTTAATAAATCCTCCTTATTTGACTGTGAAGGGCGGAGACATTCAGACCAGTGATCTTTCCCATATGTTACATAGAAAAATACAAAGCCCTTCAACGATCAATCAATAACCTTCAAAAGTGATCTTAAAATTCTAATTATGCAGAATTCAGCTCAATGTTGTTAAAAACAGAGCAAAGAAATTTATTCATTTAGCTGGATAATGATAAAAAGTGGAAAAAGTAACAAATTATAAGGACGTTTCCTTCCAGATGAGTTCCCAGGTGCAACATTTTCTTTTGAATCTTCAAATATAAACTTGTAACATTTAAATGTTTTAACATTTATGTATACAAGGAGACAAAATACTCAAATAAAAAATACATATAATCCCATTGTATTATAAAGAACAAGAAAATATCCGTAATGTTATAAATTACACACAACAACAACCAGGCGTTTAATTAAAGTCCTGCGTCATTAGAGTGAAGCTCCAACTCTTTACTTTTGTTTAATTTAGGTTAAAGTGATCAGAATGGTGACTGGATCCTGACTTGAACTTCTGTCATGTGACTTGTGTCCACTCTGTCTTCCAGGCCCTTACAGTAGGTGGCACTATCATGAAGGCCCATGAGTTTTGGGCTCTGATGACCATTTCATTTGCCACACATCCATCCTCCGTCTAATATTCCCAGTTAGCCAGTAAAAAAGCAAAAATGAGCTTAAATAAGGTTTGTCAGGAAAAAAGAAAAGATGGAGCAGCTCCAAGTATTCATGGTGACTTCACTACCTTGGTAGATGCACTGGAGGACAGTCCTTTAGGGTAGAAACAGTGTTTGAAAAGAGGTGGACATGAGAACCAAGACGGAACTTGACACAAAAAGGTCCAAAGAATCTGGATCTGTTCGCTGCAAAATAAAACTTTTAACTGTTTCGATCCAAAAATCCAAATAAAGAGAGAACTGTTTATCTTGAACTCTACCTCCTTTACAACTTTGGGATGTTTTCTCATCTTGTGGTGGTGTTGTTAGTCTCTACAACAGAACCATCCATCCATCATCCATCCATCCATCATCCATCCATCATCTTTTACTCGCTTCTTCCTTTTCTGTCACGAGGGTCACTGGTGCCCATGTCCAGCAGTCACTGTGCGAGAGGTGGGAAACATCCTGGACAGGTCTCCAGTCCATCACAGGGACACCTGGACAGGTCTCTAGTCCATCACAGGGACACCTGGACAGGTCTCCAGTCCATCACAGGTACACCCTGGACAGGTCTCCAGTCCATCACAGGGACACATAGAGACAAATGAGACAAACAACCATTCTCACTCTCTCACCTATGGACAGTTTAGAGTTACCAGTCAGTCCAACATGCATGTTTTTGGTCTGTGGGAGGAAACCAGAGCACCTGGAGAAAACCCATGCAGCACGGAGAGAACATGCAAACTCCACCCAGAAATGTCCCCAGTCGGGAGACAATCTGGCGACCTTCTTGCTGAGAGGTGGCAGCTCTACTAACTGCACCATGATGTCGCCCAGAGCAGAAATGCGGAGCTTCAAATCTTTGATTCTCATGTTCGGTTTACTGGAGGAGGGGTTCAGGAGCTGCCGATCATCAAGCTGGACAACGACGACGTCACTGAGGTATGTTGAGTTAATTTATCGTGTTTTTGATTTTCTGCATGGAATGTCCCCTCTGGGTTGGCGGGAGTCTTTGCCTCAGGTGGTTGAGTTGAAGTATCTGAGCGTCTTGTTCCTGACTGATTATAGGATGGAGCAGGAGGAGGATCCATGGAGTGATGGGGTACAGACGACGACACTCAGCAGTCTTTCAGCGTGAGTGCATGAACAACAGGAACAACGTTAGGATCCCAGTGTTTTCTCCTTAAGCACCTTCTGCAGGACCTGAGAGTGGGGGGTGCTGGTTGGCTCACAGCTGGTACCCATAACAACTGATTACCAGTCAAGGCTGAGTGGATCATGAGTCGATGTTGGACTGTTGATTGCCACCAGTTACATCCCTCTGAGTCTTCTGAGCTGGTTCCAGAGTTTATGGTATCCTCTCAACTTGCCTGTGTCCTTGCAGCATCCTCGTGGTTTTTCTCCAGACCTGGACCTGGTCCACTCCTGAATTTCTTCTCCGGTGAGAATTCATTTTCAAATTGCAAATTACCACCAGTAGGTGCTGTTTGTGCTGCTCAACCTTTTCAGTTTATCAGAGATTCTGACACTAAATAATTATGTGCTACACCATCACTTGAGACAGCGGAGACACATTTCTTACATTCTACAAGTACAGATTCCAGTGGTTCCCAGCCCTGGTCCCTGAGGAACACCATCCTGTATGTTTTAGTTGTTTCCCTGCTCCAGCACACCTAAATCAGTGATTTAATTACTTCCTCACGTTCTGCAGAAGCCTGTTAATCACCCATTCATTCACATCAGGTGTGTCAAAGCAGGGAAACAACTAAAACATGCAGGTTGGTGTTCCTCATGGAACATGGTTGGGAACCTCTGAGTTTGCCAACAGAAAAGGGGCTACAACTTGTTAATTTTTGCAGATATTGAGGCCGATGTGGAAGTAGCTGGGTTCACACACAACACACTCTGAGCACATAGCTTGTAACTTTGCACAAGTTAAGACATAGTGTTACTTTCACAGATATCCTGATGCTGCTCAATAATCCAGGTAGAAAAATCTAAAAAAGTTAAGTCTGGTCCTCTGGACTTTCACAGATGTTTTTGTGAACTGTATTCCTTCGAGGAACTGTGGGCCTTTAATTTGATTGGATTTATAGTGACTGTGAATTCTCATCTCCATCCATTTCTCTCCCTTTTATAGGGTCAGACGGGCTCTCGGCTGAGTCCTAAAAGGAAGTTACGCTCCTCCTCGATGACGCCTGCTCTATGGGCTGGGGTCAGGGTGGGGGGTGGGGGTGGGGATATTTCAGGAGCTTGATGACTGATTGGACTGAAGATCTTGCATTTCCATAAACAGCAGCTCCATATCTATATCTGAACCCTCTAATATATATATTCACCCTGGGGAGGATTTCTGCCCACTGCCACTGCTGTCCTCCTCACAGACTTCCCATTTCATCGTAGGTGAGACCTCGTTCCCTTCAGCCTTCGCTTTGCTTCTTTCATCCATGTGAAATACTGTCTGGTTGCGTCTGTTGGCCTCTCTGTGGAAACTTGTTGGACTTTTAAGGTTTGAAAATGCAGAATCTTGGGTGGGGAGTGAGATTCAGAAGGGTGGGGAAGGGGCGGCTGAGTTTAAAATGTGCTGCACAAAAATCCCTACGAGCCGAGATTTTACTAACAAAATAGTTTAATTCTCTCAACAATCACAATACGATGCATTTTGCATGAACTTGTAAAGAGAATGAACTATTTTTATGCATTTTATACCAAAGTCTTTTTATGCTGTGGCTTAAGTTTTCTGAAAATGTGTTAAAGGGGGTCATTTTGAAGAGAGTAATGAGTTGCCAATAGAAAATTCCACTTTCTCCCATAATAAATTGTCTCGTGTTAATTCTTTTAGTACAAACTGAGCAGAATAATATCCTGATGCATGCTCAATGAGCAGAATAATGTTGAGGCGGTTTCAGCGGACTGAGGAAGGACTGAAGAACTCACCTGTAAGATTTTCAACTTGGATTTCTCGTCTGGAGACGACTTTCTGAAGTTTTATCACAAAAAGAATTCATTGCGATCCAAATCTTTATTGGTGATGCAGACGCTTCAGTACTTTGTTTAAATTTCCCGTCACTGGTTTCTGGACTTCTGGAGAAAAAACAACTCGAGCTTTAAATATTTTCAGTAAAAATAACCCTGAACCCTGAATAACTGTGAAATTTGATTATGGGACCGGCTGCCTCCGTTTGTTTTTGGAGTGTGAAACACTGTCCGGGTGTGTGGGTGTGTGGGTGGGTGTGTGTGTGTGTGTTGGTGGGTGGGTGTGTGGGTGGGTGTGTGGGGTAGTCGGGGTGGTTGGGGGGTGGGGGGTTCTGGCAGATAATCTGCTGAGGCAGCACATTGTGCTGAAAGGTGAGGGAAGTGAAGTTTAACCTCCTCAGCTCAGGTTTCTTTCAGACGCAGTGTGATCTCATAAGAAAAGGTCATTTTGAAAATTTCTCATGTTTTGTTGTTGTTTGTGTTTGTTTGTTTGTTTGTTTGTTTGTTTGTTTGTGTACAGGTTGGAAACGCCAAAAAGCACCAACATGTCTGAGTAAGTTCTGCTTTGCGTTGTTGATATCAGACGTTAAACAGAAGGATCGACTTGTTTCAGTGTTTTCAACTCACCGCCCTGAGAATAAACAAACAAATATGGTCTAAAGGCTTTAAAGGTCGTCGGTTCAATTCCCGGTACCAACAACATCAAATAGTGGGTGGGAAAGGTGAAGCTCCCACACCTGCTTCCACCCTTATTTGCCCCCAGTCCGGGCAAGGCCCTTAACCCCCCCCCCCCCCCCCCCCCCCCCCCCCCCGCCGGGGCCCCTGATGGCAGCTCTCTGCTCCACACAGAGGGCTGTGGCAGCTCGCTGGTCTTGGTGCGAGTTAGTTTTCTGTGGCGTTTTAAGTGTAAAACGACTGAGTGAAAAATAAAGGCAGTCTGGTGTTCATACCACACCACTTTATTTATAAAGCACTTAAAACTGCTACAAGGCCAACCAAAGTGCTGTACGGACAGGGTGTTCAGGGCTTTGAACTGGTTGGACGGAAGAAAGAGGAACAGAAACAAAATACAGAAAGTTTAGGAGGCACAGATGAAAATAAATTAATAAAACATTAGAAGAAATCAACAGCACAAGAATAACCAAACAGGAAAAACACCGTCCCTGTGATGGACTGGAGACCTGTCCAGGGTGTCCCGGTGATGGACTGGAGACCTGTCCAGGTGTCCCTGTGAAA